GCTATATTTTTTTGGCCTGTAGAGGCATTTCTGTGCATCCTTGGAGTCAGTCATGTTGCCACATGGGTGGTCTTCCCTTGGAGTTTGTTTGCAGGTCAGATTAGCCCCACCTTCCCAGTGGTGGCTCTCCTTTCTTGAGCTCGGTTGGAGTCCAACTGGTGTATTCACTGTCAAGCTCTCTAGTGACCAAGCTTCCATTTGAGTTTTTAGGGGGTGAGGCCTGCCAGGCCTTATGACCTGTTTCCCTGCTTTCAACTCTGTCTCTTTCTGTGACACTGATTGTTCCATCCCACTGGCATTAGTCCAAACTTCCGCCCGGGTTCGTGCCAACAACTTGTGGCAGCAGGCGGGAGCCATTGCTCAGATTTGCATCATCAACCCACAGCACCCCTCTGTCTGGTGTAGCTCTTGTGGACCATGGGTTGCAGGAGGGGTGAGGTAAGCCCAGGATCCAAATCGGAGCACCAAGAAGGTGAAGTTTCTGACCCTCCGAGCTGGCTGCACATTCCAGGTGGGGACAAGACTCCCCCTGTCTCAGTTTGCCCTCCCTGAGTGGCTCTCCCACTGCTTCATCTCCTTCCTGGACTATTTTCAGAGTCCTACCAGTCCCACCAAAACAAACCCAGCACCTCACTTGCAATTGTGAAGTCCTCTAGCCCTTTGCGTCTCATGTGCTGGGAGCTGCATTCTGTTGTTGCCTCCTCTCAGCCATCTTGGTGCTCCCCCAAATCCATTCTTCATTGTTCGGATTGAAATATTTTTACTTTGTCATAGTTTACAAAAATGACAATTTTAATGGTAAATATAGAGAGGTATTCTTTGGAGTAATAGAGTCACAGAGTCTTGAGACTCAAAGTCATTAGGCATAGTAGAGAGCAGGTGTGCTTGAATGTTTATAGTTATACAGGCCCCTCCCATGGTCATATCTCAGAATGCTGGCAGGGATGAGCTTAGAAGATCAGAGAATTATCTGGAGAAACTCAATGTTACCAGAAGGAGAAATTTCTTACTAGGAGCCTTCTAACAAAATAACTATATCCCCAAATTACCCTGTAGTGAATCTACGCGTCACTAAGCCCTGCCCACATAAAAAAAACTTCCAGTCTGATTTTTGGTGCTGTTCTTGTAAATATATAGAATCAAAGGTCACAAAGTCTGTAAGGAAAGCTTTCAATTAAGACATAGAACAGTACAAACTGAAAACAATAATATATTCAGAAAGATAACTATGAGAAAATGTAACTGAAAAACCAGTAATAACAAAGAATATTTTTCATTGAAAATCGGAAAATTGAATTTGTTTTTTGAGTCTTCGTCTATAGCCTAGGCTGGAGTGCAGTGGCATGATTTTGGCTCACTGAAATCTTTGCTTCCCAGCTTTAAGTAATTCTTGTGCCTCAGGCTTCTGAGTAGCTGGGATTACAGGTGCACTCTACCACACTCAGCTAATTTTTGTATTTCTGTTTAGAGACAAGGTTTCACCATGTTGGCCAGGCTCCTCTCAAACTCCTGGCCTCAAGTGATCCACCTGCCTCGGCCTCCAAAAGTGCTGGGATTACAGGTGTGAGCCACCGTGCCTGGCCTGGAAATTGAAATTGATATAGGAATGCAATGAGGTTTGTAATGAAAATGTAAGATGACAAAATTTAGGAAATCTCATATAGAACAAAAATACACATGGAAAGTAAGAACAAAAATACAAAATTATTGGAAATTAAATTCAGGAAGTTCAATATTCTTCATTATAGAATAGAAGATTTAAAAAGAAACTGAAATTATCATGTACATCAAAAAACGTACTTTTTCTGTAACTGAAGGATTACTCAGGGGTCCACCAAATGCCCGGGACAATGAAGTATATGCTTAAGTATATCACCATGAAATTTCATAATACAGGGATCTTAAAAGTTAACAGAGAAACAGAAAACCATTTACAAATAATCTTAAATCAGAATTTTATCAGACTTCTCAGCAGAAGACATTGAAGATTTAACATTAATAACTCTGAAGGAAAAAATTCAACCCTAGAATGCTATACTTGGTCAAATTGTCATTCAAGGACAGATTAATGATATTCTTTGAAAGTTTTAAAATAATTTACCTCCTGTGTACTGTTTCTTTGTAGCTGCTGGATAACGTATTTCATCAAAATGAGAAATAAACAATAAAGAAAAGCTGTCTTTTCCATTTGTCCTTGCCCAAACGGTTGTGTTTTATCATATTGAAAATAGTTCAGTATTGCTGAAAGGTATAATACTAATGGGTGCCAATGAAGAACTTAATAGATTTAGGAAAGTTGTTTTACCCAGAGTTGTAAAATACCTCGTGGAGCTTTAATTCAAACCTGTGAAACCATAATCCATGTTTTATTCACAATGCACTGTCTCCATAATTACAATGCAAGGTTAAAAAACAGTAGTGCCATGTGATGAGAGATTACTTTGTAGGAATATTTGTGCATTTTAATGTCCAGTTTACAAAGTACTTTTGCATTTTATTTTGATTATGATAATGTGCTTTGGAAGGATTTTGATATGAGAGGTGACATGAGCCAAGTGAATGGAAAATGAGATATCTGTCAGAACTGACAATCAGGGTTGAATTGGGATGGATGCCAGTACATCATCAAGATTCACTGTAAACCTTGTATGGTGTTGGTGGGTTGGCTTGGAAGCAGATACAAATGACTTTTCCATTGCCAATGATTTAAGGACTGCACTACACAACCTTTGTTCTGGATCACTGACTCGACTTCAGCCTTTTGATGGTGACAGATGTGTAAAATTGATTTGGTTCCTGTAAGTGCAATACCTATGGACTGAAACTCTTTCCTTTGGAAATTAACCTGTGTTAAGTAGATAGACTTCAGATGGTTATTTTCTCTCATTAGCTGCCAAATTTTTATCTTAACTATTTGAATTGAAAGTTTTCTAAAACCAATAGTGCTATCTCTTCCTTCTTAAGCAGACTAGAGGAACCTGTCTTAAACTCTGATTTTTTTTTTCTAGTTTGTGTTTGTATTTTCTTTGTGGAATATCAAGTTGATACTGTTATAGACCACTATATTTTCCATTGCCCAAATAAATAGGCCCATATCGCAAAGCTTGTTTCAGTCCATTTTATAGTTTTTATATTAGGAATAGTATATGAGGTGATGAAATCTGACCTCTTTTTGTAGCCATGGAAGTAATGAGCTGTGAATTTGGCATACATCACTAAGGAATGCCTAATTGCATAACTGATCTTACCAGACTGTCTAACCATATTCCAAATCTAAGTTTGTTAGGAAATAACAAAAGATGCCTTATAATCTTATAGTAACTTCAGACTTCTACCCCTAGTAACACATTTAACAAATCACTTTCTTATGTATTAGTTTCTTTATCTTTAGCAGATACAGAAGGCAGAAAGACAAATTACAATACTTGTCTTCAATAATCATTGTAAGAACCAAATGGATTAAGTGAAAGTTTACAATACTGGTCATATAATAGATGCTGTGTTAGCTTCCTTTCCCCTCTTCCAAATTTTTTTACCTTACCAGAGCAGATAACTCTAAATGATTACTCATGCACCATCCACAGTATTTACTTAATGCCTATTTTCTTTCCCTCTTAAAAGTCCTTCATTTCAAAAAGAGGGGGAGGAAAAAAGAACTTACCACTTGGTGACATGTAATATATTTTTCTCCATTGCCTGCCTGAGCTGACACTTGGACTTTTATAGAGGAAATGGGAATATATGCCATTTGCTACTTTTAGGGATATAGAAAAACTAGTCAATGATAAACTCCTTCATCACAGTCAACCTCTTGAATTTCTCGTGTCTTTCTGTGATCTCTTCACTTTTGCTGTAGAGGAATGGCTAACTTCTCATAAGGAATGTTGGCCTCCTAAAGAGATACAGTCTTATCAAAAACACAAACTATACAGAGTTGTAGTAACCTTGCCATGTACATTACCTCTGCATTAAAGATGCTTAAATTTCAAACATGAGAAACAAAAGGAAATCTAATATGAAAGTGTTTCTCTTTTATCTTTTAATCAAGTGCATTTAAACCTTATTTGATGAAACTTTAAAATCTTTCTTCATTTAACTCAAGAAATTATTAAAGAATTGAGAAATGCGGGTCGGGTGCAGTGGCTGATGCCTGTAATCCTAGAATTTTGGAAGGCTGAGGCAGGCAGATTGCCTGAGCTCAGGAATTCAAGAACAGCCTGGGCAACATGGGCAAAAACCCATCTCTACAAAATACAAAAAATTAGCTGGGCATTGTAGCACAGGCCTGTATTCCCAGCTACTACGGAAGCTGAGGCACAAAAAGAATTGCTTGAACCTGGGAGGCCAAGGTTGCAGTGAGCCACGATTGCACCACAAACAGAATGATACTCTGTCTCAAAAAAGGAAAAAAAACAGGAAAAGAATTGAGAAATGCTGAATTGAGATTCTGAAAGATTTTTTCCTAATTATTTTATATCCTCTTTAATGGCAGTAAAACTTTCAGTTCCTTTCACTAAAATTCATGCTGAATCAACAGTCAACCTCTGAATCTTTTGTCTGCCTAGTCCCAAATTCTGTTCTCCCCACTAACTTTCATTTTACATTGGAAAATAGAAACATTATCAACATAAATTCAGCAAATACTTAATTAAGGAGAGTGTTATATTCTCTGGCCTTTAAATAATGATACTCTGAAATCTACAAATATATATATGTATATATGTAGATAATTCCAAGTCAAAGACACACATGAAAACACAAGTAGGTACATTTACAAATATATATAAGCAGGTTATACTAAATATCCCCATCAATCCAGTCATAGAAATGCTGATTAATATCTACAATGTTTTTTTACTTTTTTCTAATAACTTATTATCTTAGCCATATTTAGATATATTCATTTAGGAGAGATGGTGGTTATTATAAAATAGTAGTATTTATATTATAAAAGCAATCTAAATTCTATACATTTGCTTTTTTAAAACATTTCTATCTAGAAATTGACATTGAACGCTGTGTAAGAGAATCAATCAACCTGTTTTGTTGGACTCCTAAAAGTGCTACTTACAGACAGCATGCTCAGCCTCCAAAGCCAACTTCTGACAGCAGTGGAGTCAGAAGTTCAGCTCCTTATTTCTCTTCTGAGTGTCCAGATCCTCCAAAGACAGATCTGGTATGTATTTGCAGATTTCATTTACAAACTCTAAAAGGAAATGGATGTTAAAATTAATATACCCTAGTATCATTATTGCTCTTAATTTGTCATTTATGTCCTTTTAATGTCACTATTTCCTTTTTTTTTTTTTTTTTTTTTTTTTGGAGTTTTGCTCTTGTTGCCCAGGCTGGAGTGCAATGGCAGGATCTTTGCTCACCACAACCTCCACCTCAGGGGTTCAAGTAATTCTCCCGTTTCAGCCTCCTGAGTAGCTGGGATTACAGGCATGCACCACCACGCTAATTTTGTATTTTTAGTAGAGACAGGGTTTCTCCATATTGGTCAGGTTTGTCTTGAACTCCCAACCTCATGTGGTCTGCCCGCCACAGCCTCCCAAATTTTTGGGATTACAGGCGTGAGCCCTTGCTCCTGGCCTAATGTTGCTGTTTTCTAACAAATGATTGGATTCATGGAAATATTCCAGAAAACTCTTATATCTATTTGGTTATAAAGTTAGGAAGTTTTTGTTTGACATATTCCTCCAGGTAGCAAGTTTTGTTTTTTTTTGTAAACAATTATAGTATCTGTTTATATATCAATTGGCTATATACTGAGAGATTATAGAAGCAAAGAAAGAATTTTAAAAGTAGAAAAAGTTGTTAGTAGAGCAGGAACTTATTGTTGGTTGACAGAAGAAACAGCATTTTATAAATTATGCCATATAGGTGTTTCAACATTGTCATTATTATTAAACACAATTTATAAATATGGTCAACAAAGTTTTCAGTTATAATAAGTCATATGTTTCAAATGTTCTAATATTATAGTATTATAATTATTTCCATGAAATTGAATTTCAGTTAATATGTATGTATTGTTTTTCAGATATGGCACTTTCTACGATTTTATTTATGTCTTCAAATATATGAGTACATTCATTTTTTTCACATTTTCCATCATAATCAAATTATATTAAGGTCACTTATAAACATGACACTGCTTATGATTGAATACAAAGCATTTTCAACAATTATAATCTCTGCCTCCAGATATATAGATGATAGAGAGGGAAACAGCTAAATGAATATATATGTGAAAGATTATAAGACATTTCTAAAATATCCTGAGAGATAAAAGAATAAGAACCCTCACTTACAAAAAATATTTATATTATAGTTTTCCAAAAGTAATAGTTTTCTTCTGCCTGCCCAGAAGAAAACACTAGAAGTATTCAGCTGAAGATATTACCATGTAATGAATTTTGGTGAGAGAACTCATGTGTCAGCAAATGTTGTTCTAGATCAGGATCCCCAACCCCCAGGACACAGATCCGTACTAGGCACAGGAACCAGACCACACAGCAGGCAGTGAGTGGCAGGCAAGCCAGCAAAGCTTTATATGTATTTATGGCCACTCTCCATTACTCGCTTTACTGCCTGAGCACCACCTCCTGTCAGACTAGCAGCAGCATTACATTCTCATAGGAGAACAAATCCTCTTGTGAACTGCACATGTGAGGGATCTAGGTTGCATGTTCCTTATGAGAATCTAATGCCTGATGATCTTTCACTGTCTCCCATCACCCCCAGAAGCGATCATCAAGTAGCAGGAAAACAAGCTCAGGGCTCCGACTGATTCTACATAATGATGAGTCATATGATCATTTCATTGTATATGAAAATGTAATAATAATAGAAATAAAGTGCAAAATAAATGTAATATGCTTGAATCATACCAAAACCATTCACCACACCCTGGGTCCACGGAAAAATTGTCTTCCACAAAAACAGTCCCTGGTGCCAAAAAAGTTGGGGTCAACTATTGAAGATGACCTGTAAGATAGCTTGAAACTTTGAAATTCAGTGATTCTAAATACAAACTTATTTAATAGTTTCTTTGTTTCAAATATTGAATTGTATCCTCTTTATAGCCAAAAAACATTTGTTAAAATGACTGACTTCTCCATTTTATTGCCTTTGTTTTTGTCACAAATTAGTTGGTTGTGTTTATGTGGGTCACTTTCAAGCTCTCTGTTCTTTTTCGTTGATCAATTTGTCTGTTCTTTTGCCAATAATATGCTGCTTTGATTTATAGTTTGTCTTGAAGCTGAGAAGTGTCCGTCTTCCAACTTTGTTCATTTTTAATACTGTGTTGGTTATTCTGAGTCTTTGTTTCCATAAAAACTTTAAAATCAGTTTCCCGATATCCACAAAATAACTTGCTGCTATTTTGATTAGGATTGCATTGGATCTACCTATCAATTTGGGAAGAACTCTTGAAAATAAAGGTTGATTATCTCTTTTCCAAGATGCTTGGGACCAAAAGTGCTTCAGATTTTTAATTTGTTCTGATTTTGGAATATTTGCATTATTACTGATTGAGCATTTCTAATTCAAAAATATAAAATCCAGAATGCTCCAAGGAGCATTTTCTTTAACCACTATGTTGGTGGGTACTCAGAATGTTTCCAGTTTTGAAATATTTTATATTATGGATTTGGGGACTAGGAATATTCAACCTTTATTGTATCTCCTATCCATGAAACTGAATGTTTTTTCATGTATCTAGTTGTTGGATTTCTTTCATCATGTTTTTATAGTTTTTCTCACTTAGATCTTATATATATATATTTTGTTAGAACTATAACTATTTGATTTTGAGGAATGCTGATGTAGATGGTATTGTATTTTTAATTTCAAATTTCATTTGCACAATGCAAGTATACAGGAAACTTTTGACTTTTTTGTATTAACTTTGTGTCCTGCAACCTTGCTATAGTTAGTCCCAGTTTTTTGCTCAGTTTCTTCAGATTTTCTACATGTATGATCATGTTATTTGAAAAATGGACAATTTTATATTTTCCTTGACAATTCATACACCTCTTACTTTCTTTGTGTTACTGTATTAGATACGACATTTAATATAATGTTAAAAAGCAATGGTGGGAGTAAATGCTTGCCTTGTTCCTGGTCTTAGTAGGAACACTTCTAGGGTCTCATCACTAAGTATTGTGTGAGCTGTAGGTTTTTGTAGATGTTCTTTACAAGTTGAGTAAGTTCTCTTCTATTGCCAATTTGCCGAGAGATTTTTATCATGAATGCATGTTGGATTTTGTTGAATGCATTTCTTGTATCTATTTGTATGATCTTGTGAATTTTCTTCTTTAGCTTCTTGGTACAATGAATTACATTGATTAATTTTCATATGTTAAAACAGCCTTGCATGCCTGGTATAAATTCCACTTATTCATGGCATATAATTTGTTTTATACATTGTTAGATTTGACTTTGATAATATTTTGTTGAGGATTTTTGTAACTATGTTCATGAGAGATACTGTTTTCTTGTGATATCTTTGTCTAGATTTAGTATTTAGGGTAATGCTGCCCTCATAAGATAAGGCAGGATGAATATTCCTTTTGCTTTTGTCCTCTCAAAGAGATTGTAGATAGTTGACATAACTTCTTCCTTCAGTCTTTGATAGAATTCACCAGTGAATCCATCTGGGTCTGATACTTTCTGTTTGGGAATGTTCTTAATTATTGATAGAATTTTGTTAATAGATGTAGGCATATTCAGATTGTCTAATTCTTCTCATGTAAGTTTTGTCATATTGTGTCTTTCAAGCCATTTTATCCATGCTATCAAATTTATGGGCATAGAGTGGTTCATAGTATTTCTTTGTTATCCTTTTATTGTTTATGGTGTCTATACTGATGTCTCCTATTTCATTTTTGCTATTATTAATTTGAATCTTAGCTGGTTAAAGGTTTATTGATTTTATTTATCTTTACAAGGAACCAGCTTTCGGTGTCATTGATCTCTTTTACTTTGATTCACTGTTTTCAATTTTATTGATTTCTGCTCTGAATTTTTTTTTCTACTTAACTCAAATTAAATTTGCTGTTCTTTTTCTAGTTTCCTAAGGTGGAAACTTAGAACATTAATTTTAGATCATCCCTCATATCTAATACATACATTCAAAGCTATAGATTTTCCTCTGAGCACTGTTTTTCCTACATTCCACACATTTTGATGTTCTATTTTCATTTCCATTTAATTGATATTTTGACTTATATGTTATTTAAAGGTGTTTTGTTTAATCTCTAAGTGTATTGGTATTGATTTTCATTCTAATAGTTTGTACAACTGCGTATGTGTGTGTGTATATATATATATATACACACACACACACACACACACCCTTATATATATGAATAAGTATCATTTTCTTTACAGTTATTATGTTTTCAGTTGTTTATTGTCCATTGCTTTGTACAGAACCTCTAGTTTAAAAGTAGGTAGAATTGTTCTGAATTTAATGAAAATACTTCTAATTTCACCATTAAGTTTGATTTTTTTATACTCTTTATTGAGACAATTATTGTCCCACATTTTTTATATTTCTGACTGTTTATCATGAATGTTAAATTTTATCAAAAGCTTATTTTGTATTATTTTGGGATTGTTTCATCTTTTATTGTGATAATGTATTACACTGTTACAATTTCTTATATTTAATGGTCATTGCATTCCTGAGATAAAGTCTGCTTGGTCACTGCCAAAAAGAAATACTGACTATATTTGATTTTCTGGTTTTAAAAAAAAAGAAGTTATGCACCTATATTCAAAGATTAGATAAGTCTATAATTTTCTTTTTCTTTTTGTCCTTGTCAGGCTTTGGTCTTAAGAGTCAATTTTCTGTTGGGTACTGTGCTCACTACCTGGCTGACAGGAGTAACCCTAAACCTCAGTATCACACAATATACCCTTTTGACAAACCTGCACATGTACTTCTAAATCTAAAATAAAACTTGAAATTATGTTTTAAATTTTATTTATTTTTCCTTTTGTCTGATATTTAATCATTTTCTGTGAAAGGAATTATCTCCTTTATATACACTGAAGAAATTTGTCTGGAAAACCACTTCTATGAGTTCATATTGTTTGAAACGTATTTCTATTTAGTTAACATGCTTATTTTCTCAAAATTTTTTCTAAAAGTACCTATTTTAATTT